AGGGGGGGTCGGGGAAACTGGGGTGTGGGTTGGTGCGAGACCCCCGGGGGTGAGGAGGAGGGTGCTGCGGCACTGGAGGCCCCGGGGGAGGGGGGGACACGGGGATGGAGGTGCCCTGCGCCCTCCCGGCCTGTGGGAGGGGAAGGCGGAGGGCGTGGGGGGGACACACGCCGTGGCCGCCACGAGAAACCGGGGTGGTGGGAACGGCGTCTGGTCGGTACAACTGCTCACCCGGCCCGTGACCTTGAGCGGGTCCGGTGCCAAACTCTGCACGTGTTCATGGAATGGTCGAGGTTGGGAGGGACCTTTCAGATCATGGAGTCCAACCACCCACCCAACCCTGCCCAAACCCCACTGACCCATGGCCCTCAGCACCACGTCTGCCCGGCTTTTAAATCCCTCCAGGGATGGTGACTCCCCCACTGCCCTGGGCAGCCTCTGCCAGTGTCTGACAACCCTTTGGGTGAAGGAATTTCTCCCAATATCCATCCTAAACCTCCCCTGGTGCAACTTGGGGCCGTTTCCTCTTGTCCCATCGCCTGTTCCTTGGGAGAAGAGACCGACCCCCCCTGGCTACACCCTCCTTTCAGGGAGTTGTAGAGAGTGAGAAGGTCTCCCCTCAGCCTCCCTTTTGCCACTCTAAAGAGAGCACAGCGGATTTTTTCTCTGGCCAAACGTAGGCCCTGATGGCTTCACCTGTGAGTAGGGGGGTGACTGCCTGCGTACCAGCCATGGGGGTGTGGGAAGTGCTGGCCTTAGAGGGTCTCTGCCTTGTCACTCACAGAGGAACTGCGGATCTTCAGCGAGGCTGGTTTTATATTCATTCCGCTTCCATCCCGGGGTGAATTTAACAGTAAAGGCTTTGAAAACGGAACTGCCTACTTAGGCCAGGTTTGGCGTAGCGTGGCACAGATAAAAGGCTTCAAATTGGAGAGACGTGTCGTGGATTCGTTTGGTCTCGTGCTTTCCCACTCCAGAGGGTCTCCACAGGCAACCGCCGAGAGCCGCTGGGGCTTGGAAAGGCGACCTCCCTCCCTGGATGGTTCCCAGCCCGTCGTGCTCGGGCATTAGTATTCCAGGCAGGAGACATCCTCGGCCAGGGGTACACAAAAGACCCGTCTTTATTTGCCAAAGAATCATATTTAGGTACAGCTGTGGCAAAAACGGTTTGGAGAAGGGATTGATGGAGATTAAAAAGGAGGTAGGGAGCGTTCATGCTCAGTTGCAGTCTGTGTTTAGAAGATGAAGCTGTGTCCTGTAGGTCATGCCACAAACTAGCGAGAGAGCAGAAGCCAGTACAGCTGGCTCGGTGATCCTCTGCTTTGATTTCTAGGCAGAAATTCAGGAAATGCTTTTCTCTTCATGGTGAGAAGTCACCGCCTGTGTAGATCTATTGAAGTGTAGTTTTGGCGTGTAAACTGTTCAAGTGGGGAAATACAGAACGGCTCCGTCACCTGGGAGGGAGGGAAGCTGAGGGACTTGTGTTGCGTTTTGGAGGGCAGGGCAGCTCTTTGAAGATTTAGGAATTCCTTTTCAGAGAATCACAGAATGGTTTGGGTTGGAAGGGACCTTCAAGATCATGGAGTTCCAACCCCCTGCCCTGGGCAGGGACACCTCCCACCAGAGCAGGTTGCCCAAAGATTTTTATATCAGTTTCCTCAAAACTACTTGAAAGATCATCAAAGAGTTGCGTTAAGAAAGCGGACGGGATGCGATCACTGCTCTGAGAAAAGCCCTGGATCTTAATTTCTGGAAGAATTAATGCTCCGAGCAAAACTCTGGCCTTGGCAGAGCAAGGGTTGTGGCCGTGGTGGTGAGACCAGAGCATCCCTGGTGATACCAGGCTGCCGTCCCTCGCCACCGCCCGCAGAGCAGCCTCTGCCTTCCAAGGCTTGTGGGCCCTGGGATTAGCGTGACGTTGTCTTTCTGATCTAGATCCTGAATGAAAGTAGTTGTTGGTGAGAGTCCAAAGAAAGTGCGGTTACTTCCTCAAGGAGGCTGGGGCTGAAATTCTAGAAACAAAGCACTATAGCATGGAAAACTAATATTATTTATTTGTTTTCCTTTTGGCAAGGGTGAGGATTTTTCTAAGCAGGTAGAACTTACCTTTCCCATGGGGGAAAAAATCAAGTATAAAAATCAAGTATACTTTTAAAATTATTATTTGTTTGTTTTCCTTATGGCAGCAGTGGGGAGTTTTCTGAGCGGGTAGAACTTACCTTTCCCAAGGGGAGCTCTGTCACATATGGTTCGGTTTTTAGGTGACAGAGGAATTTGGAGCATGGAGTGACCCCTCAGGCTTCACCAGGAAATTGCATTGCTTAGATTTTATTTTATTTGTTGTTTTGGTTTTTTTTAATATATAAAACGTGAAGCTAGTGGGACTTGGGACAAGAACAAAATCATGTTTTCCTAGGTGCTGTGCGGAGATAATTCCTGTGTAGGAAGCTTTGTGCTGTCTGTATCAGTGAACTAGTAACACTAATTATAATTAAAGCAAGACGACTTTTGTTTAGACAAGCCAGGGTATTTGTTACACAGTATCTGTCAAATCAATTGACTGGAACAATGAAGTGTAGTTTTCTCTGTACTGAGTAAAATAGGCTTCCTCCCCCCGTCCCCTGGTTGGACCCGGATGCTCTTGAGTATTTTTAACCTCAGTGTCCATCAGCCGGAGCCGTGGCAGCCGGGAACGCTGTTTGCTGATGTTACGCAAATATTTTGTTGGCAGATAGGCAAAGAAATGGTCTGTTAATAGCACCCTCAACCCTCCTCCC